ATATATTTGACCTAGACAAATCAGGAACGTTAAAATCACCTAAAATTAAAAGTTTATTATTACGGAGACATTCAAGTGATGAGATTGAATCAAAAAGAGCTTCATAATACTCGACATGTAACCCAGGCGGAATATATAGTAAAATAATGTAACTAAAGCGACACGACACCAACACTTTAACTAAAATTAGGTCTATGTTATCCGGTACGTTGGGAACTTCTAGTTGCGTAGTTTTTAAGGACTTATCAATTGCTAGTAGCACACCACCTCCTCTCCGTTTATCAAGCAAATTATATTTTCGATCTGAACGAAATACATTGTAAATATTGGGATTAAATAATTCATTATTAACGACTGATGTATTTAGCCATGTTTCTGTAAAAGCAATAAGTTTAAATTGGTCGACTACAGACATATTATATAAAATATTTGTTTTGGTGTTAAGGCCCCGTACATTCTGGTAATAACAAAGAAAACTATTTTTATGACAGAGGGTAGATATTTGTAACAAATTAGTTGTATCCATTAATTGCTACTTAGTACCTAGAATTAAAGATTTGAACTTGTCATGAGCATTTTTGTAAGCGGTACATTTAGACAAATCCCAAACAATTTATTTATAAACAATTGATTCCGATCACACCAGTTATATAAGCTATTTAAATCAGATTGTAATTCCAACGCATCCTGAGGAGATTTAATAAGTTTAAAAATTTTCAAGTCATCGGCGTAAAGTAAAAAATTAGAATATTTGAAACAAAATTGTAGATCATTGACAAACAGCAAAAATAATATTGAACCACAGTGTGATCCCTGAGGTACACCAGAAGTAACTTCAAAACTGTGAGATATAAAATTGCCAATTCTAACTTGTTGACATCTGCCCGATAAAAACGAAAACAACCAATCTACAGTGGAACTGTTAAACCCTAGTTGACTCAGTTTAGAGATCAGAATGTGATGACTGACCCTATCAAAGGCTTTTGCGAAGTCGGTGTAAATGGAATCCACTTGAGACCTTACTTGAAATGAATTATTAAGAAACACGTAGTAAGACAATAAGTTTGTAAGAGAAGATTTACCTTTACATAACCCATGTTGATGAATAGATAAAATCGAAGAAGAAGACCACTGTAGTTGTTTCGCAATAATGTAATCTAAAATTTTGGGGATTACTGATTGGATGCTCACCCCTCTATAGTTTTCTACTTTGGTTCGTGCTCCCGATTTAAAAATCGGAGACACATAACTACACTTCCAAACATCAGGAACTTTGAATTCCATAAGGGATGATTCAAACAATAGGAACAGTGGAACAGCCAAAGTACAAATGCATTTTTGTATAAGCATACTTGGAACACCGTCGGGACCACAGGAATAAGAAGATTTAAGATTGCTAATATTTTGAAAAACATCCAATAATGTTACCTTTAATCCACTATCAAAGACTTTTAAATTAAGTGAATTATTATTTTGTAAATTTGTTGTGGGATCAGTAACATAGACTGTAGAAAAATATTCCGCAAACAGATTGGAAATATCTGCTCCATTGTCCGCTTTCTTATCTTTAAATGACATGTAATTAGGAATCCCATTATCCTTGTTCTTATTACGAATGTATTTCCAAAAATAATTTGGGTTAGATGTAACACTAACATCAACTTGGGCAATGTACGAAGAATATAAATTTTCATTAAGGGTCTTGCAGCGAGATCGAATCGACTTGAAGTTAAGATAATCTACTAATTTGCCAGACAATTTATATTTAAAATGAGCGAGCCTTTTCTGGTAGCACAAATTTTTAAGATCCCTGTTAAACCATATCGGATAAGAACTCTCAGATTTAATCGTTTTCTTTGGAATATAGTAATTAATGCCTGTAAACAAAATGTCATAGAATATCGAGACTTTAGTATCAACATTTTTATTACTGAAACAAGACGTCCAGTCCACAGATGCCAAAAAATTATTAAGTGAGTGATAATCTCCATTACCAAAATCAAAAACATACTTCTCCAAGAGTAAGGGAGCATCTGCTATACAAGATACAGACCACATATAAGGAATATGATGAAAATTTACATTCGATAACAGATCCATAGCTTCGCTAATTTCTATATCCTTAATATTAGAAAAGATTAGATCAAGAAAGACGCCTCTTTCATTTGGGATCATATTAATTTGGTTCATGTTTAAAAACGAATACAACCCACTGATTATATCAAAATTGCTCCGTGCCCCTGCACACGACATAAACATATTGTCATCAATCTTTATATTAGGTAAATTAAAATCCCCTGCAATAATATATTTGGACTCAGGGTATTTGTTAAAAATATTTTCTAAATCATCACAGTGGTTCTTATAAATAACTTCCGCAGAACCAGGAGGAATATAGACCCCTCCCACAATAAAGTTAAATTCCTTAATCTGAAGACGAAGGTAAATACTTTCTACTGATTGACCTATAAAGATAGTTGAGGAACATATATCTTTTTTTACAGCCACCAGTACACCACCACTTCTAACTTTACCACTAACACTAAAACTTCGATCAGCACGAAATATGTTAAAATTAGATAAACCTAGTTCTACATCGGAAACTTCATGTGTCAACCAAGATTCTATTATTATAATAACATCGTAAACACTCGTATTAACTCTATTTGAAAAATCATGAATCTTAGTATTTAAACCCCCAACATTGTGAAAATAAAAATTTATTCGTTTTTTGCTTGACTTCTGCCTTCATTCCTCCGTGTAATCAATGCCATATTGTTCCTATAGGTCAGCGCAATGTCGTTCTCTCCACGCGATTTTCTTTCCTTAAATTTCTCAATTATGGAAGAATTGGATTGTCTTTGCCGTGTAGTCAAATCCGGGCGAAAGTGATTTTGTTTATTGGGATTTTTAACGTTAGATTTTAGTATACTCTTGGCCTCATCATTGTTCGAAAAAATCATCATTAACGGACGTACCGCATTAGGTTTTGGAGGACCAATACGGAAAATTTTCTTTGGCTGTTGGAATGCCCCTAGAGATTCCAAAATGGACGAAACATGAGTTAAATCGTCAATTACGCGTTCGTCTGCAGATTTAGCCAGTGACTCAGGGACATTGTATAAGAGAACATTCTTACTACGGTCATTTCGGTCACAAATCTCCAACACTACATCATTAATATCATAAGAGTCAGTCTTATTGGTAGAGGAAGTCTTAAGATGAATAATTTCAGATTGTATTTTTCGAACATTATCTTCAACATCAGAAATTCTGTTATTAATTTGCAATAATTTTTCATCAATTATGTGAGAAAATTCTAATTTCAAGTCCTCCTTTAATTTGCTGAATTGATTTTCAAACAGCTTCTCGATTGCCGCAAGAATTATTGGAGTATCAGAGGCCGGAGCAATTGAAGAACACTTTTGACACACCCACTGAACGTTGGTAGATATATTTGGGACGGTCACGGTGGAACACCTAACATGAACATGTTTTTTGCAATTTGAACATTTGATCGATGGTGTGGAAGGTGTAACAGCAGATTCGCAGATCAAACAATAAAACGTCGTTACTGATATTTTAATGAAAGGGAATTAAAACGAGGACACAGCTTTTCACACCAACAGGGCCCTTTGTTGGTGACTACAGTAAAAACAAACAGAGTAGGCGTCGGACAGGAATACAGGAAAATGAACAAGAGGTGAATGACACTTGTTAGTCGAAAAAAAAAGAAGAGCATCAAAAAAGAACAAACAAAAGCACTCACTGATATGATAAGAATAAACTTTGCGTACACCTTGATTTAAGTTATACAGAAACTTCAAAAGGACACCAATCCGCAGTATGCAAATTACGGAGCTACACGATTGCACAACAGTCTAACTGTATTCCAAAATTCAATAAAATACACTTAAAAAAAACACAAATTTAACTTAAACTGTGTAAGACACTTGCCGCCTTTATGATAAGCAAAGAATTCAATTTACAATGATGGTAGTTGTACAGTGTGTATTTTGCGTCGGATTTTTGTAAGCCTGATTGTACGGGGAGGATTTTCTATGTAGGGAATGAATTCATCGACCAAACGACTGCATGCATCTGATTTATTACGTTGTTTTGTATCAGGTTGCTTGATTGCTAAATGTTGGTCAAAACTTTACTATTGTCTAGGTTCTGAAGGGGTTTGTCGGTGAATTCATTCTGCGAGTTGTTTTTTTTTTTTGTAATTTTTCTCACCAGTGTCTTATTATGTTTGTTTCTTCTTATTAGTTGTTTGTTTGAATTTTATTTTTGTGAGTGCAAATAAAGGAGGCTGGTCGAAACTACTCAGTGGTTTTATTCCAAAATTTTTACATTCATAAAAAAATTAACAATAAGAGATGTGTAGTGATGAGGCATCAAAAAAAGAAATAGAGCAATGCCATCAAACAGAAATGTTTAATTTAATTGACAATAATTTAGTTAATACGAAACCAGCCAGTCTCCCGATGGACATCAGTGATAGTAGATATAATCCAGCGTCCGGGAAGTAGCTGTTTAGACCCACTGGTTGGCTAAAGTCATTTTAAACATTGCTTAATGTGTATGACAACAATGATAATGAAACCCAGCGAGCCGACATTCTCTCTATATATCACTAATGTTATTATTGTTAAATATAGGCAGGCACAACATTATAGTGTATTAAAATTTTTAGATAATTTAATAATTTTAACAACAACAGGTTTGATTCAGAACTGTCGCTATTATCTTATATAAAAAAAAAACTACGGTAAGTCTTACACTTCAATTACATGTAACATATGTTGAATGTGTTGAATTTCAACATAACCTCACAATCCTTCAAACTTTGTCACATATACCCTAAAAACATTTAATTTTATTTTCATTACTTTCCTCTTTTATCTTTAAATAAACTTAATAAAATTAAACGCAATAATAAGTAAAAATAGTTTTACGCTTGCAATAGAGAAAAGCAAATATATAACATGTTGCCTTGTTTAAATAGATGATAAGGATGACAAGTGTAAAGACATATAAATATTAGCGCACTCAAAAATTAGTGCCGTATAAATAGCATCTCACTTTACTCTAGGTTACTGTAAGTTTGCTAGTTTCGAAAACAAGTGGTTCATTCCCAAGGGTGATGGCATCTTGAGAAATGGAGGAAAAAACTGAAGTAAGTGTTTTTCCACTATCAACACATAGATACTCTTATACGTGAACCCAAAAACTTAATTAAATTGTTTAAATTAAGTCAGGCTATATGAACGGATACTGGAAAAAAAAATTGTGTATGTGCAAATTGTAGGAAGCCTTTCTGTTCCCCTGTAAATTTTTACATTTTCACTAACGACTACATATTATTTAGCGGTTTTGATATTAAATATGTCTTTGCTGTATTACCAACGTAATTTTTTAGCCACATATACAAAAGAGGCCTTTAGATTTTTTTTTTTAGTGTTATACAGAGTAAATTATTATGAATATTATCTCGCTAATTATTATTAGAAATAAAAAAAATTGGTCTAAAGAGTTTAGACAGTACTTCCCTCGCTGTCGGAAACGTGACGACTGCATGCCTATTATGTTTTTTTTTTCGCAGTGGATTTCAAAGAATTCGGTTTTGTAGTTCCTGAGTAAATCAATAAAATAAATTTACGCATTCATTAATTTTTTTGAGTCACCCTGTATATGCAAATCCAAAAAAAAATCAATGGAGTGATAAATCACAAGTACAGACTCATCATATTTTGTACAGTTTGGATAGGATTTATTCGGCAAACTTTCGAGCTGACGTCATCAATTTTTTGGAGGGGATAAGCAAATATATTTTGACTAAACATTTATTATGCTCTTTATAACCTTAAAACATCTGCAAGATTTCAAAGCATTCGGTTTTTTAGTTCCTGATTAAATCAATAAAATAAATTTACGCATTCATAAATTTTTTTGAGTCACCCTGTATATGCAAATCGAAAAAATTTGAACGGAATGATAAATCAGAAGAAGAGACTCACCATATTTTGATAATTTTAGATAGGATTTATTCAGCAAAATTTTGTGGTGACGTCATAAATTTTTTAGGGGGGACGACCAAATACATTTTGATCAAAAATTTACCATGCTTATGATAATTTTAAAATATCTTCAAGATTTCCAAGCATTCGGTTTTGTAGTTCCTGAGTAAATCAGTAAAATAAATTTACGCTTTCATTTATTTTCTTGAATCACCCTGTATATGCAAATCCAAAAAATATGAATGGAGTGATAGATCACAAGTACAGACTGATCATATTTTGACTAAACATTTATTATGCTCTTTATGACCTTAAAACATCTGCAAGATTTCAGAGCATTCGGTTTTGTAGTTCCTGATTAAATCAATAAAATATATTTACGCATTCATTAATGTTTTTGAGTCACCCTGTATATGCAAATCCAAAAAATATGAATGGAGTGATAGATCACAAGTACAGACACATCATATTTTGTACATTTTAGATATAATTTATTCCACAAACTTTTGAGCTGACGTCATCAAGTTTTTGGAGGGGATAAGCAAATATTTTTTGACTAAAGATTTATGATGCTCTTTATAGCCTTAAAACATCTGCAACATTTCAAAGCATTCTGGTTAGCAGATTAAAAATTAAATTTCAAAATGTTGTTTTATAATTTTGATTTTTTTTCCAAAAATCTGGACGTTTCGGGTGAAAAGTCGATTCGGAGTTGTAAACTACATGTGTAGGACTATGTTATTTTATACAATTGAAAACCCATTTACTATGTACAATTTTGAAGTGACGTCATAACATTAGTGGTGGGGATGATTAGACAAATTTTGGTTAGCGTTTTAGCATCTACATGATATTCTTAATATAAGTACAAAATTTCACAACAATCGGTCGAGTACTTTCGGAGATTATCTGTCTAATAAAAATCCGGGACGGCAGACGGACAGACAGACGGACGGACAGACGGACAGACGGACAGACGGACAGACAGACGGAAATGGGAGACCTATTTCTTCGTCTTCTAGGGGTCATGAAAGATCGAGAAAACGTAAAAGTAGAGAGTCGGCCGACGGACTCGATTTGCTTACGCTCGGGAAGTAAAAACTCAAACCTATTTCTTTAACAACATAAACTAAAATTATTTTCAGCTATATACAGATTATTCTCTAATCTCTATATATTTTTAGATGCTCTAACTTTTCCTCAAGATTTATAAGCATTTTTTTTATTTCGGTACAACATGGCGACATGTGATTGTTTTATTCACTTTTATCTACACACTTATTGTCGCACTACATCCAGCTGTTTCAAAAAATTTATAAATTTTGATTTTGCGAATTTTATTTTTTTACGATAACCCTTTCGTACAAAACATCAAAATTTTCTAACATTCTACAATTTAACTTTGATATTGCAAAACTGAATGTTGTGAAACCTGGACGTTTTAAGGTTATCGCAAACATGGTAAATCTTTAATGAAAATTTATTCGTTTACGACCCCCATAAAACAGATGACGTCAACTTAAATTGTGCCAAATAAATCAGTGAGAATAGAGAATAGTGTAGTCTAGAAGTGTTGAGATTTTCGCTCCTGAGATTATTTACTTTTTTAGTATTAGTTCGTGTATTTAATTAATTATTTTTTTACCAACGTGACTTAATATTAGTATAGAAAACTCATTTGACATACACCTTATAAAACTTTTATGATTTTCACGTGCACCTACTAAAACTTTACAGCTCCATTATGACAACAATGATCAATTAAAAGTGTTTACATTTCTGCACAACATGTCATCAGTTCTGATATGGTTTCAGAACCACTTCCAAATAATTTGACCACCACTCTGTCTACTATTACTTCATAAATTAGATCGTATTGGCTTTAATGAAGTTTTATCTTCTTAATCGAAGACAACAAGTTGAACATCGCGGGGATATTTCTGAAGTGAATATTCTCAACATCTGGAGTCCCGCAGAGCTCAAATCTCGCCCCTCTGCTATTCCTAATCTTCGTTAATGATGTGACGGATGCACTAGTATCTGGTAATAAATTTTTGTTTGCGGACGACACAAAATTTTGTAAAGAAAAAACTCATTGATAACTTGCGCTTTTTTACATTTACTTTAACATTACATACACTACACACCTATATGTTGTCCTATAGGGGTTTCGATGAAAAGTAAAATTGCCAAAACCAATTTTATAATTTTTCGAAAAAGCTGGATTTGTTTTATGGGTACTTCAGGGGTGGGGGAAGTTCTGTCGAAATAACCTACGACCAATTTTTTTAAAACAGTGTATGTTTATTCCTTTTCAGACTTTTATAAAAAAGCGCGGAACAGTTGATAAGGGCAAATTGTATGAAAATGTGGTTCTCACCAAAATTGTAACAGAACTATTAGAGGACAAAAAAATAAGGGATTTCTATATTTCATCGAACAACGAAAATTTTGGTTTATTCGACGATATCGTTATTAAACTTGAATATCATGATAAAAGCAAAAAGTTGCAAGCAATCCAGTTAAAGCATAACCACAACAAAAACGAATTGACTATATATAATTTACAAGGATTCAAGCGCAAGGAGAAGTCAAATGCATTACAAAAAGATACAAATTTCGACATTAGCAGATATTTTGAAAGTTTTGAAAAAATAGAGGAAAACGTAGACGAATTGATATTATTTACTAACCAACCATTCAATCCTCCGGAGGAAGAGTTTAATCTTGAAAAATGTCAATTATGTATTAAACCTGTTAAAGTCGAAGATGATGTCTACCAGTTTCGTATAACAAATCCACCCACCCCCAATACTGAAAAATATTCAGACTTCTTTCGTAAATTTTACCTTAAGACGAATCAAGAAAATGTCGAAGACATGAAAAAAACAGTAGCTGCACAATTCACCAAAACGTATTCTTCAAGTGAAGAAAAATTTAATCAATTCTTGTCGGCAATAGTTGCATGGAATATGCAAGATCAGGAAGTACAAGAATTAAACAAAAAGTGGATGGAACGTTTAATTTCACTACAGCTTCTGTCTTCTGCCATCGTACCGTTATCTCCTGGTCCTGTTGATAATAAAATGAAAACACTTCGAAAGGCTATTTCATCGTTTCAAGTGGTAGTGTTTGAAGAAGAATCGCTTGAAAAAGTTGGAAAACTATGGGGTGATTTTATAAGCGACAAAAAAATTGACTTTAAAAAATTAAACAAACAGAGAGAAATGTATCTGCCCACTATCAGTCCGATCAGTACCACTGATAGTGAGAATATCAATGTAGATACAAAGACGTTCACTCAACTGCTATGGTTAATGAACGAATGTTCATTAATTTTACGTGAGTGTGAAAACGTCGAGGAAGCTTTTGAATTCTGGTCCGACAAAACGTTCATCTTGATTACCAAAGACAAGAACAAGATAGATACAATGAGAAAGAGATATTATACCGTGTTTCAAAATCTATCAGACTTGACATTCGATCTTCGCGAAAATGTAATGCAAGATTTTCGTATATCGATCCAAGGAAAGGAAGAAATTAATCTTGCGACAGCTTTTGGAAGTAATACAGAACTTGTAGAAATTGTTACAACCGACAATCTAGTAGAAATGCTAAACGGTCCATGCCGTATAGGTGGTGAACAAGAAACGCTTCCCGAACCTTACATCACACGCTCACTCTCGAGAAATGTTGTAAATTTCACATATCTAGATAAAGTTCACGACAACACAATCATTGTTTTGAATACTGCGAATAACGTTGATAAAGTAGAACTCCATAAATATAAATTAATTGACATTGACAACTTTTTACAGGACGATAGCACACCTGATAACTTTAACCTTAATAAAGCAAGCACAATTTATGTAGTTAACAGGAATGATTTTGAAATTCAACAATTTTGTAACGAAAAAATAGAAACCGAAAACATTCACTATTTTAAAATTTCGAGTGATGGAAATTTAGAGTGGATTCAAAGCAAAGGTGATGTCAGTGATTTAGAGGGTTATAAATATTCTATAAACGAAGACGCGCTGTGGTGTTCTCGGTTAGACAATAACATCAACCTAATAACTGCCAATCCGGGAATGGGTAAATCTGAGCTAATGAAAAGCTTCAAAAATAAATGCCCACCGAAATACTGGACAGTTATTAT